TTCGTCACTGGTTGTCCGGCAGTGACCCACTCTCTGACCCAATCTCTGACGTCAGTGAGGGAGGAGTCACCAGGTGGATGACGGTATCACTGTGAGTATCGGTGCGGTATTTCCGTTTGGTTTCAGGTTGACGGATCATAACTTTCCATTTTACACCTGTGATTTCCTTTTAAAAAATGCCAACCATATTTAAAAAAAAGCTATCAATATAACTAATATAAAAGCTTTTTATTTCAGTTTATTTATAATATTTATTGTCCTTTTTGGAAGATTCAGAGTACAGTGAAGGCTATTGTTGTAATTAGCACCGGACTTCTGTGTGCATAACTGAGTTAGATACAAGATTATAACTTTAAATATGCATTTAGGAACTAGCTAAGAAGCTACGATAATGTATCTGAACTAAGTTATGTCACAGAAGTCCGGGCTGGATACAATAATGCCATTTACAAACACACACACACGCACACACACACACACACACACACACACACACACACACACACGCACGCACGCACGCACATGCCCGAAAAGTCTCTTGTTTCTGACGGTTAGTCCGGCGCCTTGTCGCGGTCACTTGCCGGCCGCTGCCTGGAACACCCACAGCGCCAACAGCGCGACGCTGAGGCCGAGCGCGGGCCGCAGGGAGATGGCGTCGTTGCACTCGCACGTGCACTTCATGAAGTCCATATAGCACGAGACCAAGCAGCTTTGGTCGCTGCAGCTGCTTTCACACTTGGTTTTTTTCGCCGTGCAATCGTCGTCGCCCAGACAGGTCTCAATCTGGGGGATGTTGGACATGCTGGCGCCCGGGACGCCGTAACAGCCGCACCAGCAATCTATGACGCACTTGCCCTGGCACTCAGAAGAGTCGATGCCGGAGATGGAGCATGAGCTGCAGGTCGCGGACGAGCACTGGAGCAAGGGAAAGAAGGCCAGCCACCAATGAGCAATCGGAACCGCACCAATTTAAGGTACACGGCACGAAAACAAGACTTTGCGCTGATAAATACCGAGGGGTTCCTCACTTCCATAATAGGTGTACAATGAGTTGGCGAGTTGACGAGTTGCCGCGGGTAAGGCACGAGTTGGGATCAATTTTTTGAGAGTTTTGCGCTATTTTTCGCAAATTTTCGCGAGTTCTCGCGAGTTCTCGCGAGTTGGGCTCGGGCAAGTGTACAACGAGTTGGCCAGTGGTGGACCCCTCGATAAATACTGTGTGCAACTGGCGCGTACACGCAAGAGTTCAACAATACGTTGAACACTTTTTAGTGTTTTACCAGCAAAGTTGAAGAGGTTGTGTTCAACTTCCATGACGCTAGGATGGACACTTGAAAGCGTTCAAATTTGCTGTTAAACACTTTGAAGTATTCAAATTTTCCGGGCCAACGCCTAAGAGTGTGCATGCCAGTTGAACATTTTTATTTTCAGTGTGATTTAAACGTTTTTGCATAAAAACTAACGTGTTCTAAACATCAGATGTATTCGGAAGGTTGTGACTCACGCTGTATTGGCTCATGCACTGCTGCAACTTGGTGTAGTCGTCGGTGTCGGAGCGGGCCGAGCTGAGCCGAACGTTGGTGGGTGCGCCGGCCGGGAGAGACGCGTTCCGGAGAGGGCCCATGACGCCCAGGGCGCTCTCGATAGGCAAGCAAGGCCCGCGGTGAACCGCAGAGACACCTGGGAGGGAGCAGACCGGCTTAACGTTACTTGGTTGTGCATCGTTTTGGTGCACACAAACAGTATTATTTTTATGGTTAACCATAAATAACCCAAAATTTTGTGCAAACGTTCGTGCAAAGTTAAACCTATGCTTTTCGTTTTGGACGGACTCATGCGTAAACAAAGCACGATTTCGTACACATGGGTACACAAAGGTGTTCCATTGAACGCAGAAATTTGCTTAGAAAATTGGATTGCTTGACTCTCTACAAATGCAAGATACAAATCCAGTTAGCGTGCGAGCAGACTCTACAGGTGGCTCTCTTGGGTTGACCTGGTGGTAAACTGACCTGATAGGGAGGCGCAGTCCAGCTGGCACTGGCTGTCGTATGTGACGAAGTTGGAGCCGCACACCTTGGAGGAGGCGGGCGCGGGCGGGCACGGGCACGCGGCCAGGGCGAGCGGCAGCAGCACCAGCAGCA